GCCACCGTTATCACATCGTCCAGTCGACGTCGTTATCCTTGTTGGCACTCAGTTCGTCGCCTTCAACGTCAGTCAGTTTGGTGTCGTCGAACACGTCGAGTCTGTTCAGACCGACGAAGGTTTCGCTTTCTTTATTTTTCTGTTAATCTCATATGGTTAGATAATTGCATGAGTATATTGTCTCTAAACTATTATCACATATTCACTGCTTAGTTCATACTTCTGAGTTGAGAGTAACTAAACATGTGACCGTTAAAAATTTGATATTGATTTTAGAACGTGTGCAATGATAATGAATACTACAATTATATTTTTTGAGATTGGAATTGTTCATGATTATTGATGCAAGTCTTGTTAAAATCCATCTGTCACGTTAATTGTTTTGAAATTAATTTCCTGCCGAAAATTATGAATTTTGGTGAAATGGTGCGTTATTCGATTTAGATCACTGATTGATAGACCCCCTGTCCCGTTTCGCAGCATTTTTGGTATCAGAGCATGGTTCTATGTTAGAAATTTTTTTATTTTTATTAGTTTAATTGAGTCTTTTAATTTGTTATAAAAAAAATTTATCGTTCATCTCATTTAGTTGTTAGCGCATACCATTAACACAGGTCTACCCTATCGATTAGGTGAGTCAAGTGTATCAACTAGTGAGTCCAGTATGTCTCCCGAAGTCCTTAAGAAATTCGCTGAACTAGTAGCACAATTTAATAGTACTATAGAAAATTTCCAAAATGCAACCAACGATACACGTGCTAAGCTAGGAAAAGCGTGTGTTGCAACTCCGCCTCCGCAAGGTCAAGGTTATGGGCACATCATTCATCAACCCCCACCTCAATCTGTGCCTGATCTGCCAACCTTTGATGGTAAGTTCGACCCAAAAGCTTTCTTGGACTGGCTGAGGGGCATGGATAGCTAGTTTAATTGGTGCGCCGTAACAGAACTACGAAAATTCAAGTTTGCCGCGATGAAACTCACCGGACTCGCCTGCTAATATTGGTCCAACATCGAAATGTTAAGGCATATTAGAGCTGAATTACCAATTTTAACTTGGCGAGAAATGGTCGACGAGATTAAAAGGAAATACCTCCCGCCATCATTCTATCATAGATTGCTCAAAAAGTGGCATCAACTAGCTCAGGGAACCAAATCTACAAAAGAGTATGTTGCTCAATTTGATGAATTGTTTACTCGATGTAGCACCATTGAGCAAGATGCACCAATGAAAGTCTTGTTAAAGTTTAGAGCCGGATTAAGAAATGACCTTCAAACCGAACTCTTTGCTAGAGGAGTAGACACCCTTGAGAGAGATTACGCCTTAGTTCAAGATCTAGATAATGCCAAATTCCACCAATCTCATAGAAGTCAGGATTTTTGAACTCATTCCTCCCAGTCTTCCCATGCCCCTACCTCTAGTCAGCCTCCGAGTCGATTTAACCCTAGTTCTTCCCAGTCTAAAGTCAATCCTAAGGACAAGGAGTCACAGAGAGGTTTCTCCAAACTTAGCCCAATAATTTAGTGTTACAATTGTCAAGGATATGCGCACGTTTCTACCATCTATACAACCCCGTTCAGAGTTAGAATTAATAAGCCACCTATAACGGAATCAAAACCTATTATTGAGGAAACCGTTTATCAAGGCGTAGATTTGACAAAATCTAACTCTGACAAGAAAATCCAGGACAATAAAATTGAAGAACCATGCACTTCCGTTTCTTCTGAAACTACTCCTGCAATTGTGGAGTTGATTGAATTATCATACAATGACAATATTCCAATTATTTCCCAAACTACCCCTTTGATCACAGAGTTCACTGATGTTATCTCTGTAGTTATTCCTAAAATTGAAACTCCAATTCTTCCTGAACTCACTCCATTGATTGAAAACGTTGTTGATGTTCCTCACGAAGTCCTCCCGGACAAACATGACACCCAACACATTCCTGACTTGGTTCCTAAAGTGAGTCACTCAGATATCTGTATGGAAGTTAAATCCAAAACTGAGCACAGTGAAATAACTACCATATTAGATACCAAACCCCATGCATTGTCCCGACCGTCACTCACACATACATTGATCCGTTTTGAGAATATATAGTGATTAGGGATACAAGATTGAGCACGAGTGGTTTCATTTCCTTTCTCTCTCATGTTAATTGCACAAAAAACACTCCTCCTTCACTTATTTGTTCGCATGTTCCTCACTATCACTGCTAGAATAGGAAATTTGTTATGCATATTAATGAAGGAACACCTAATTATTCCATTTGATAGAGGTCTCCATGCATGTTAAGCACTTCGTTGAGTTTACATCTGCCTTTGATCACATTGTTCGAGTCTGCATTTCATACGTAGTCATTTGAGTTGATTTGCATCATTTTGTTTGACTTGCATTGATCATATATTAGGGAATCAATGATCTAATTTGAATAAATACATTGTTAACTAAAATGTATGATATTGAGTCAGAACATAATTTAACACTATTAATGATGATATTTGAGATGGTTTGAACTTGTCCAATACAATTTCTTTTATAGCTGTTTAAGATTTGACATGATATTTATGAACTTTTCCAACTCTTGAGATAATTAATAGCAACATTTATATTATCGGTTTGGTCATAGTTCTATTTTCAATATTGATTGATTATGCAGTTCACAATGTTTATTGGCAGTCCATTGAAATAAGCCTGACCCTAGACTATTGTTCTGAGAGTTCTTTCACTTTACCCCACTTCTATATATTCACACATACAGTAGTGAATTTTGATAATATTTTAGATGGTGAATTTACAATACAATTTAGCTAATGATTTGAGATGCAGGAAAGTAACTGACAATATATTAAGATGCATGCAGTTTATATTGAAGATGACAAGTTTCTGCAGCTAACTCGACGGAGTCGAGTTTTCACCCACATGGGGAGAATGATGAGGACAAGCTTCTATATTTATTATTTGACTTTTGTTTTTTATTTATTTCAGGCTTTAGTAGTCAATTTTGAATTTTGAATTTTAGTAGTAGATTTGAATTTCGAATTTTGAGTGAGATTTGGTAGTTATTGATTGTTAGAGATTTGATTGTGAGTGATTTAGGGAATCTTGGTTATTGATTGTTAGAGATTTGATTGTGAGTGATTTAGGGAATCTTGTATTTCTCTACTCTATTTAAGCCAATTGTAATCAGAATTATTATTATAGAATGGAATGAAGAAAATTGTTGCTAATTGCTTGGTGTGAAACCATGGGTGTGAAACCCTAGCTACAATTCTCCCGTTCTTATTCTCCTCATACACAGCCACCAAACCCATTCCCTTTTCTTTGTCCAATAACCGCCACCCGCACCTGCTCCCTCTCCTCTTCAAAACACCACCACACTAGCGACCCAAACACCCAACCCACCGCCTTCTGCTCTTCCTCCAAAGCAACCACGCCAATCACCCAGTCTCCCTCTCCTCCTCCATCAGCAGCCACGAACAGCCCTAATCCCCCTCCTCCTTTCCCCCTCCTCCTTTCCCGCAGCAGCCGCCCTGATCTTCTCCTCCATAAGCAGTAGCGCCCCGACCACCTTTACCTCCTCCACCAGCCACTGAGCCCTCCCCACTTTCCCCGTTCAGCCCTCCCCCCCACCAGCCCTATTCCACATAAGTGCCGCCAATCCATTTCTCTTATTCCGCAAACCATTTAACCCACTGCCTCACTGCTCCCTCAAATCCTAACAACCACTTGATAGCTCAATCGACGCCGTCGGCGTCCATCCCGTCCCCCTCGTCATCGTCACTTCACACGCTGGGGTCGTCGCCTAGTTCACTGTCATCATCTTCCACCTCGACGCCGTTGCTTACGTCGCTGTCCAGCCGCCACCACCGTTATCACATCGTCCAGTCGACGCCGTTATCCTTGTTGGCATTCGGTTCGTCGCCTTTGACGTCAGTCAGTTCTGTGTCGTCGCACATGTCGAGTCTGTTCAGACCGACGAAGGTTTCACTTTCTTTATTTTTCTGTTAATCTCATCTGGTTAGTTAATTGCATGAGTATATTTCTCTAAACTATTATCACATATTCACTGCTTA